GGGGCCGTCTTGGAGGCCATCTTGGGCGTCTTAAACCCCTCCTGGCCCGTCTGGGAGGCCTCTTGGGGCCGTCTTGGGGGCCTCTTGGGCAGTCTTGGGCCAGCTTGGAGGCCTCTTGGGCGATCTTTGGGCAATCTTCGGGGGCTCTTGGGCCGTCTCGAGCCGTCGGAAGGCCGAAAAGAAGCAAATGTCAGGATCTTTCAAAAACCTTAGGACATCAAGTGTTTCTGGCCTTTTTTCTGGCCTTCCTGGAGGCCTCTTGGAGGCCTCTTGGGCCGTCTTGGGCCAGCTTCGAGCCAACTTCGGCCATCTTGGCGGGTTCCTGGTACGTCTGACGCCGTCGGGAGCCGTCTTGGGGGCCTCTCTGGGCCGACTTGGGGCCCTCTTGGGGCGCTTCGGGGCCGTCTTAGAGGCCATCTTGGGCGTCTTGGAGGCCTCTTGGCCCGTCTTGGGGCCCTCTTGGGGCCGACTTGGGGGCCTCTTGGGCCGTCATGGGGTCATCTTGGAGGCCTCTTGGGCGATCTTGGGGCGACCTTTGGGGCCTTTTGGGCCGTCTTGGGCCGTCGGAAAGCCGAAAAGGCGCAACCGCCAAAGTCCGTCAAACACCTAAGGACAAGCAATGATCTTCGCCTCTGCGGGCCTTCCTGGAGGACCTCTTGGAGGCCTCTTGGGCCGTCTTGGAGGCCTCTTCGGGGCCTCTTGGGCCGTCTTGGGCCAGCTTGAGGCTATCTTAGGTCGTCTTGGGTGCAGATTGGCTCGTCTTGGAGGCATCTTGGAGCCATCTTAGCCGTCTTGGAAGCTATATTGGCCGTCTTGGAAGCATCTTGGAGACCATCTTGGGCCGTCTTGGAGCCGTCTGGAGCAGGGAAAATCTTTGCAACCGGGTTTTGAGATCCTTTCCGGGTGGCCGGCGGGACGGGCCGAAGCCCCAGGGGGAGTTCATTCGGAAAAAATAAAGACAAAACCAAAACCGAGAGGGTCCAGCACGCCAGGCACCCCTTCGATGAATCGACAGGGGGCGGCGGATCCTAGTGGCCTTCGGCCCATCCCGCCACCGTGCCTGGCTTGTGGGTCTGAGGCCGGGGAGCAGCAAACCACAGCCTCGCAGCCTGATGGCCCCGCAAGGGGGCCAGCGGATTTAATCGCCTCGCCCATTCCGCAGGCACAGACTGTCGCATAAGCGGACGATGGGGAGAAGGAGGAGGTCTGTCGATACACGCTGGTCGTTGAAAGTAGGTATTTTTGGATCTCCAGATCCCAATCTACGTCAAGCGCCTTCCTACTTCAAGAATCGACATGCTTTTGCTGTGTTTTGTTATTCTCTGGGAGGACCTGGACCCAATCCACTATATCCGCCTTCCTTGCTTCATGCTTCTACCTACTTCTTCAGACCGACGTGTAGTTTCTTGGGGAACTCTTCAGACGAAATGGGTCGTCGACAAGACGAGTCTCTGGGAGACGTCGTGGGCCCTCTTGGGAGGCCTCTTGGGAGCCTCTCTGGGGCTTCTTGGGCTAGTTTTTTGGGGCTTCTGGGAGCTTCTCGGGGCCTTGCTGGCGGCCTCGTGAGGGATCTCGCCGGAAAGGGTCGGGTTCTTTTGGGATCCTCTGGAGCCGTCTTGAGGGGCCTTTTAGGCTGTCTTGCAGACTTCTGGGGCCGTCTTGGCCTCATCTTGGGGGCATGCTGGGCCGTGTTGGTTGTGAAACCTCAAAGTCGTTTATGCGAAACATGCAGGTTTTCCTGAGGGAATGGGGCGATGTGTGTTTCTTGGGGCCCTCTTGGAGGGCCTCCCGAGGCTCTCTCTCTGCGCTTCTCGGAGGCCTCCTGAGCTGTCCGCGGGCCATCTCGTGCGCCCTGGAGCGATCCTTCGTCGACTCGGGGTGCCTGGACCGTCCGGGGGGCGTCTGGGGCGCTCCGGGGGAGCTTGCCGGGAGCTTGCCATAGGAGCCCCCGGGGCTCCGCCGGCGGAGTTTTTTCGCTCCGGGACGCCCATAGGTGCCGCCACGCAAGGCGCGAGCGCGCGGAGCAGAGGTTGGTGAGTCGAGCGTGCTGCCCGGAGATCTCAGCACGCCCCCGGCCCGTCGGGCCGGAGAAGCTCGTGGAGCGCAGCGCCCTGGCGCGAACGGCCGAGCGACCCTATGCCCCAAGGCACTTCGCCGGCACGGTCAGCAGCCTCAGGGATGTTGGAAGGCAGGCTGCGCAGAGACGCCGAGGCAGAATCGACGATGGAGGGGAGTGCGTGGGGAAGGGGGAGCGAGAGCATTGTGAAGCAATTGAATCACAAACTTGAGCCCAACCCCCAGTGCTTCTCCAGCGACGCGAGGCAAAGAAAGACGGAAACGACGAACTGAAGCCTCCACGTGCTGCACGTCATCTTAGTGCACGGCGACAGCCAGAAGAGAGAGAGAGAGGGAGAGACCGCATCTGAGCATGGGAAGTCACTCCCGCGTACACTGTAAACGAACAATGCGAACAACAGGTGGAACAACAAGCAGATGACCACCAGTATGGACGTTGCAGGGCGGTACATTAGTTGTTCCCCAGAGCTTTCACAAGACTGACCGCTATTAAAGAAAGCATGCGAAGGTACCAGATTCCCACCCAGTCAGCACGTTGAAGTACGCCCAGGCCGCAGGGAGCAGGGGTTGATTGGGCTCGAAGCCGCGGAACCTCCTACGACCCTCCTATGGCCTGCAGCCTAGCAAGGACCTTAACGAGCATGACAATGCAGATAATGAGCACAAACACCCCCCACGATAGGTATACCGCCTTTCGCACAGCAAGCTGACCATACTCGTTGCCTTGCCCTGTCACCGTGATCTCGTCGCACATGCAAGACGCGCCGACGCGTCACGATGTCCTTCAACCACCGCGTGGATGTGCAAGGCACGACGCCAAAGACATGCCTGGCTGAGCCAATACGATTACGGAAGGCCTCGGCCAGATCTTGAGATGGGGAAGGGAGACGAGGGGGTGAGGTGGGGAGGGAGGGAGGGAGGGAGGGAGGGAGGGAGGGAAGGAGAGGGCGGGAGGGAGGAGAGGGAGGGAGGGGAGGGGAGGAGGAGGGGGCGGAGGAGGAGGAGGCGGGGAGGAGGAGGGGAGGAGGAGGAGGGAGGAGGAGGAGGAGGAGGAGGAGGAGAGGAGGGAGGAGTGGAAGGGGGGGAGGAGGAGGGAGGAGGAGGAGGAGGAGGAGGAGGAGGAGGGAGGAGGAGAGGGAGGAGGAGGAGGAGGAGGAGGAGGAGGAGGAGGTGTTGGAGGAGGAGGAGGAGGCGGAGGAGGAGGAGGGGAGGAGGAGGAGGCGGAGGAGGAGGAGGAGGAGGAGGGGGAGAAGGGGGAGGAGGAGGAAGAGGAGGAGGAGGAGGATGAGGATGAGGAGGAGGCTGAGGCGGAGGCGGAGGCGGAGGAGGAGGAGGAGGAGGAGGGAGGGAGGGAGGAAGGGATGGAGGGAGGAGAAGGAGGAGGCGGAGACGGAGGCGGAGGCGGAAGCGGAGGCAGCGGCGGCGTTGGAGGAGGAGAAGATGACGACGACGGTGATGAAGCTGCTGCTGATGATGATGACGATGATGATGCTGATGCTGATGATGATACTGATGCTGATTATCTTGCTGCTTCTGATGATGCTGCTGCAACTGATGATGCTGCTGCTGATGAATGTGATGATGATGATGATGATGATGATGATGATGATGATGATGATGGTGGTGGTGGTGGTGGTGGTGGTGGTGGTGGTGGTGGTGGTGATGATGATGATGATGATGATGATGATGATGATGATGATGATGCTGCTGCTGCTGCTGCTGCTGCTGCTGCTGATGATGATGATGATGTGATGATGATGATGATGACGATGATGATGATGATGATGATGATGATGATGATGATGATGATGATGATGATTATGATGATGATGATGATGATGATGATGATGATGCTGATGATGATGATGATGATGATGATGATGATGCTGATGATGATGATGATGATGATGATGATGATGATGGTGATGATGATGATGATGATGATGATAATGACGACGATGATGATGATGATGATGATGGTGCTGATGATGTTGATGATGCTGATGATGATGACGACGATGCCGATGGCGATGATGATGATGATTTTGATGATGATGATGCTGATGGTGATGATGATGGTGATGATGATGATGATGATACTGATGATGATACTGATGATGATGACGATGATGATGCTGGTGGTGGTGGTGATGATGCGGATGAGGATGATGGTGATGGTGGTTGTGGTGATGGTGATGGTGATTATGCTGATTATGTTGATACTGATGCTAATGACGATGACGGTGATGAGGCTGATGCAGCTGCTGCGGACGTTGATGATGATTACGATGATGAGGTTGATGATGCTGATGATGATGATGATGATGTTGATGATGCTGCTGATGATGATGATGATGATGGTGACGATGCTGCTGCTGATGATGCTGGTGACGATGCTGATGCAGATGATGATGACGATGCTGATGAATATGATGATGCTGATGATGATGCTGATGATGCTGCTGCTGATGATGATGATGGTGATGATGCTGATGACGATGACGATGACGATGCTGATGCTGCTGCTGTTGCTGCTGCTGATGATGATGATGATGATGATGATTATGATACTGCTGATGCTGATGCTGATGAGGATGATAATGTTGACCATGATGATAATGCTGGTGGTGTTCTCTGTGGTGGTGAGGAGGAGGAGAAGGAGGAGGAGGAGGACAAGCACAAGGACATCTGCATAAGGGGGGAGGAGGAGGAGGAAGAGGAGGAGGAGAAGGCGGACGAGGAGGAGGAGGAGGAGGAGGAAGAGGAGGGGGATGAGGAGGACGAGGTGCCAGTTGCGACTTGGGAAGGAATGTGATGAGAAGGCCGATGAGTTCGAAGGTGGGTGGAGGGAGAAACAGCGAGGAACAGGAGCAGAGGGATGAGGGGGGAGAGGCGGTTGTTCACCGCAGTGCTCGTGCGAGCAGGTGCTCCTCCAGGCAGAGATCGGCGGAGAGGTGCGCTGCCTAATGGAGCTCATCTCGTCGGCGCCCGACGGCTTCCAGGAGCGGCTCTGGCAGGTCAGGTCTGGACGTGCTCTTGGCGTTGCTGTTTCCCGCCTTCGTCTGTCTCGTCTTCGCTTCCGCGTTCGGCTCTGGTAGTCTTGCGAGCCAGCGCGGCCCGATGCTTGCATGATGCTATTGTGTATCCTGGCAGGCCCGATCCGATTCGGCGTCAATGCCGTGCCGATGCGGCCAGATCCGACGCATATTCCGATCCGATCGGATGTCCCGATTCGATGTTGACCGATCCTGGACGTTTCGCCGTATTTCTTCCAGAGGTTGTTTGGCCCCCGGGCTCGACGGTTTGTGAGCCTCCTCCTGCCCCGCCCCCTGCATCCTGCGAGTCCTCCTTTTTCGACTTGTGTTAAGTCGGGCCTTTCCCTCTACAGGGGGGATATTCAAAAATAGTCAAAAAATAGTCAGGGGACGATTTGTTGATCATTTTTTGACCATTTGGGGGCATTACTGGACTATTTTTAATTTGTCGTCGAGAAATCCCCGGGGACATGCCCGACCTAAAACTTGTGCCTGTCGCCCTCCCTCCCTGCCTCCCTGGCTCCCGCCTCCTCCCATCTCTCCCAAACCGCAGTGTGCTGCTGGGTCCTGGTTTTGCAGGAACGGGGCCCCGCCTCCTTCTCCTCCTCTGCTCCTCTCCCTTCTCCCTCCTCCCCCCTCCCTAGACGGGGGCGGGAGGATTCACCAAACCTTGGCGCCCGTGCTGCTAGATACCGCGTGTTTCTGCCAGCAGCTAGTGGGTGCCGCACCAAGCTGACCGTCTCCTCGGCGAACCAGAGCGCAATCCAAAACCCCCCCTCCCTCAGGCTGCCGCGGGAAGGATTGCGAGATCACCAACCCGCCGTCGAGCGACATAGTTCCGCGTCAGCAACCTCTCGGCTACTTCTCCAGATTTCGGCAAGGGCGGAATGGGGGAGCACGACACATCGATGCTTCTCGCCCTCGTCTGCGCTGTGAGGATTTGGACCCACAAATCCTTTAGCAGCATCGACCTTCGACCGACTAGAGGCTACCAGTCAAGTGTTCAACGGATGGGACGCTATCCTGCTTTGTGGAACACAGGAGTTGGCGTGGCGGCAGGGGAAGCCGCGACCACGCACGGTCGGCGTCACTCACCACAGGGGCGTGCAGTTCGGAACAACGCATTCAGTGCAGCTGTTGCACCTGATCTGGTGCTGGTGTCGAGTCCCAGAACGTGAGAAGGTCACACGCGAAAACCCAAGGTGGAAAAGGAACCGTTCTCCAGCCTCGCACTTGCTGCAGGCTTCTGGGCGGAATGTCCGCGGCGTCAACGCGTGAGGCCCGTTTTGAGAAGGATCCGCCCCCCATCCGTACAATTGTTGCAGTATTCTGGGGCGAACGCGTGCGGCGCTAAGGCGAGGGCTCCTCCCTTTTGATGACGGGCCCGCCCGCCATCCTTGCAGCTGCTGGAGATGTCGAGCTTCCGGGCCCCAGATCACGAGGAGACCTCGGATGAAACGCCTGGCCCGCCCCACGGGCGCGCCTCGCCGGAGCGGGATGGAGGAGGGCCAGCGTGAACCCAAAACGCATCAGCGATGCTGCGGTCAACTCCCCATCCGAGTTTCAGCCACGAGCAGAGGGGGGCTGAGGGGAGGGGGAAAGGCTTCTTAGAAACACAGAGTGTTTCTTAGAAGGCGCGGGCCGTGTCTATAGATGTAGAGCCGGCGCCTTCTAAGAAACAGTCTCCTTGTCTCCTCCTAGTAATCCTTTCCCCCATCCCCCTGTCCCCTTTGTGCGCGTCGCCAACATTTCCCTCTTCAGAGGGCCCTCCTTGCAGGGAATGCTCGCTGGAAGGCAGACGTCTGAGAGTCTTCCATCTTGCCGAAACATCATTCCTGGTGCTTCAGCGTCACGACTTAACGTGCTTATTACATCCTGGCAGTCCTAAATTGTACCAGAACTCCATTCCGGGGAGACCAACACCGCGAATCAGCGTGACAGCTGCGGTCTGACAGTCCTGAGTATTGCCAGCTGATAGTTCCTAAGATTCTATAGGCTTACGCCACATCCGCCGACCTCTCATCTTGGCGGTCTTGCCGGCTCGCTTGAATCGGGCTGGGGAGTCGTGTAGGGGTCCATAATGACCTCTCTTGGGGCTATGTGGAATCCGCTTGGGGTCATATCGAGGCCCCGGGGGGCCCATCGGAAAAGAAAGGACGCTAATGCAATCTTGGCATCGTTCTGGAGATGCCGAAAGGGTGGAAGCGTTGGATTGGGGCCCGTATATTTCTTGCTGGGGGCCGTTTTGAGGCCGTTTTGGGGCCTCTTGGGGGCCTCTTGGGGCCTCTTGTGGGCGTCTTGGGGGCCTCTTGGGGCCTCTTGGGGCCTTCTGGGGCCGTCTTGGGGCGGAAGGCTCGGATTGTCGGTTCGGGCTCCCCCTCTTGGGCACCTCTTGGGGCCGTCTTGGGGCCCTCTTGGGCTGTCTTGGGGGCCTCTTGGGCCGTCTTGGCGCCCTCTTTGGCCGACTTGGGCGCCTCTTGGGGGCCTCTTGGGGCGTTGGGCGTCTGGGAGCGCTCGTTTGGCGCCTCGGAGCTCTCGTGAGCCGTCTTGGAGGAGTCTTGGGGCCTTCTTGGCCCGTCTTGATCCCCTTTTGGGCCCAAAAGAGCCCCGTGACGCGCTCGTCGTGGGCCCGGGGGGGGGGTCAAATCTCCGGTTTGGGGTTCCAGGGGGGGGGTTAGGGGGGGGGAATTATCTCACACGCCTAGAGACCCACAAGGGGTCGGCGGATTTCGACCGTACGAATCTTTGGCATTGTTACACAATTTCAAAGTGAATGTGTGCGGCGCTAGGGCGAGAGCCCCATTCTGAAACAGAGCCGGTCCCCAGCGCAAGGCGAGAGCCATATTTTGAAAACGGCCCGCCCTCAATCCATTCAGCTGTTGCGAATTTCTAGATTCAGGTCATGAGCGGTGAGGAAGTCTGAGTCGAAACGCCCGGCCCGCCCTACCAACACATCTGGGGGTGCGACAGGGAGGAGTTTTCTACCAGGAGAACGGGTGGATCGGACGGGGTTAGGACGAGGAGAAATCTGTTCCAGAGCGTTTCGTAACGCTCTCAGAGCGTTACGGAACGCTCCGAGATTCGTGCTCGAGACATCCTGCGGAGCCGCCGGAGCTCAGAGATTCTCGATTTTTCCTCGCCCGAGTTTACTCTCGGAGGAGGAGGAAGGAGAGGATGAGGAAGGGGAGGAAAAGGAGGATAAGAAGGAGGAGGAGGAGGAGGAGGAGGAGGAGGAGGAGGAAGTCGCCCGGGTCGAGTGGCTGTTGGGCGGGGGGCGCGCCTTCCCCCCCATCGGCGAGGAGCTGGACTGCCTGCGCCCGCTGAGGTGCGCGCTGCTGGAGGGCGAGGACTGGCGGCAGGCCGCCGCCTGGAGGGGTCGCCGGCTGCGCTGCGCTAGGCTACGCCAAGCCATATGCCGAAGCGCGTGGGCAAAAACAGAAATAAGCAGAACGCCAAGGCACCTGGCATCGCATGCAATGTACATAAAGAACTTCCGGAAGTGTCCAAGGTGGGGACTCCTCCATGACCGCACAGTATTCCAGGCCTTCCAGATTCGAAGAAGAACAGACTGCATAAACATATTTTTTCGCGGTCCGCGCGGATTCCTTGAATCCGCGCGGAGCAGCGGACATTTGGGCCGCCCGCGTTCGCAGGACACGCCTGCCACTTAGCCGGGTGCATGCAGATCTTCAGCTGGTATTTGGCTTGAGGTGCGAGTTCGCGCTATCTTCGATCGTTCGGTCGTTCCACCCCCCCCTCCCAGTGCGCCTTTTTTTCTCTCCCTCTGGCGATCGCGGGGCCCCCTTCCCAACCAAAGAGCCAGTCAGCAGGTCGCATCGCAGATTTCAGCGATGTTGCACGACACACCCCGTCCAAGTTCCCTGTTCATGAGCCCTTACAACAGTGTCTTTTCACTGAGAGACGTGTCCCGTTGGAAGACAAACGTCTGGAAACCTTGTATCGTGCCAAGACACCAGAGTTTTGACATCAATGCCGCGAATCAACGTTACTGTTGCGCCATGGCGATCCTGAGTCGTGCCAGATCACCATTCCTGGGACTTCAACGCCGCGCTGTCGCAGTCCTACGCCGTGCCTGAACATCATTTTTGCCGTCGGCCACAACAATCCTTGCAACTGTTGCAAGCTCTTAAGGCGAATGTGCGCGGCGCAAAGCGAGAACCAAATTTTGAAAAGCGCCCGCCTTCACCCGTGAAACGCGTGCATTTTTTAAGACGAGTATGCGCGGCGTTAATGCTAGTGCCACATGTTGAAAAAGAGCCGGCCTCCGTTCGTGAAGTTCTTTTCAAGTTTTGAAGACGAAAACCGCCCGCCCTCTATACGGGGAGCTTTTGCAAGTTCAACCTTGATGGTCATAAGTGCTGAGGAAGTCTCAGGCGAAACGCCCCTCCCGCCGTACCGACACGCCTCGGGGTGGGACGGGGAGGAGTTATTCAGAAGGGAAAGGAATGGAGGAGGAAGAGGAGGAGGAGGAGGAGGAGGAGGAGGAGGAGGAGGAGGAGGAGGAGGAGCAGGCAAAGGGCGGAGGGTCAAGGACCGAAGTTCATGTATCGAGGCGTTTGGGCGGTTTAGGCCTCTTCGGGGGCTTCCCCGCGGCGGCCCTTCGCCTCGCCTCTGCCAGATACCCTTCGATCTTCTGGGCGGAACGCGCCCCCCCTTTCCTCCCGGAGGGGTTTGGGGGGGCTCTTCTCTTAGAGCGCGCCCCTGGGGAGGTCGGTGGGCCGGTCTTGGAGGAGAAGGGAGGGCAGGGACGGAGGGAAGGGGAAGGGAGGGAGGGAAGGGGAGGGAGGGCGGGATGGAGGGAGGGGGCGATGACGACCATTGAGGGCAGGGGGGGGAGGGCAGGGGAGGAGGGGAGGGGAGGGGAAGGGAGGGGACGGAGGATCAGGTCGATGATGCTGTTGCTGGTGATGGCGATGGGCTGATGACGATACATCGCGGCGATGACGATGACGATGACGATGACCGTGACGATGATGGTGATGACGACGACGACGACGACGACGACGACGACGACGACGACGACGACGACGACGACGACGACGACGACGACGACGACGACGACGACGACGACGACGACGACGACGAGGGGCCGGTCCGCTGCTTGTTGCCGCCGCGGCCCCGGGCCAGGCCTGCCAGAGGCTCCTGCAGGAGCTGTTCGCGCTGGAGCCCGCGTGGCAGGGCAGACAGTTGCGACTCGAAGAG